TATATATATATATATTACAAATAAACATGCATTGCGCGGGAATATAAAATCCAAAACATGTACTCATGGATTTATGTTTGTAACTGAGAGATCATTAAGGCAGATAAACAGAATACACCAAAAGAAAAATGTTCAATATTCTACATGCTTCTGTCCTTTTTCTTATACTAGCAGCTAATTGCATCTAACCAGTTATGGAGATAAAATGAAGTGTGTAAATACCAATAAGCAGTGCTTGTTTACCTGGAATGACATAAGTAGCCCATGCAGGAACTCGTTCAAGAGGCCCATTTGGTGTGTTAAAATACACCCTGTATTTGCTTCCATGCGGTAAACCAGGCATATATTTCTGTAACCAAGCTTTCCTTCCCTTTTTAGTTTCCAACCAGTAAGCAATAGGAGGCTGCTTCATACGAAATTTCTGAAACGATTCGGGATCACCTATAATATTGAAAATATCATATTCTTTTCCGTTATCTATCACATCATATGATGGCAAATTGCTTGCTGGGTCATTTTTGTGTTGCTCTTTCCAGGCTTTGTATCGTGTCACTGCATCAGGCATTTCTTCTAGTTCCTCTTCCGTTTGGGGTCCATTTGGGCCAAACATTTCCTCGTATAACTTTGCCGCCACCTCATAACGTGACTTAATGAAGCGATCTTCTCCGGGTTCCCAATACTCATCATTTGCTTTTTTAAAGATTTCTTCGATGGTATTGCCAGTGTCACCTTTATCATAGTCATCCACATAATTGTACTGTTGAAAATACAATTTATCAGGTTCTTCTCCTTGACGCAATTTATCTTCAAGAATAATAAACCAATACCCACAATCATCATGACCAAAATGACCCTCTCTGGCACAATTATCAGTTGTTGACCACCCATTAAAGTCACCAACTAGAGCACAGTAGCGAGCACCTGTTAAACATCTTGGCACTTATATGTCAAAAACCATATAAGAAAAAAAAATAACAAAGAAACAACGAAAAAGACAAACAAACAATTCTTGATTATCAAGAGCTAAATCCACTCCCCTGCCCCATCTATAACCCCAGAGCTGGAATCCACTCCCTGAAGCTGCCATTATTGCTTCCCCTTGTCCGTTTACAATCCAGGTTCTACTGTTCCTCTCTTGTCTTGATATTTTAATAGTTTGATATTTTTGCGTAATTGTATCTCCTTGCCTGCCTATCGTGTTCTTGAATCTTTAGTTAGTATTTGCCCCAGTATTGTCAAACTAATTGCATTAATGATAGCTTTGCCTACTTGTTTATACTGTTATCTACCTGTTTACATCTTTATTTTGAATCTTTTTATTTTGGATCTTTATTGCACATTTTCTTGTGACCTTAAGTTGTAGATTATAGCCCCTTTAGCTCTTGTATTTTGGATCTTTATTGCACATTTTCCTGTGACCTTTAGTTGTAGATTATAGCCCCTTTAGCTCTTGTATTGTATTTCTTCACCTATTTTTCTATTCTTTAGTTGTAGATTATAGTTCGTTTAGTTCCTTTGTTTTATTTCTTCACGACTTCACCTGTTTGTCTGACCTTTAGTTGAGATTATAGTTCCCGTTAGGAAGTCAAGAGGCATTTCTGGGAGGATTTGGATGAGATGGTGCGTGGTATCCCGCATACCGAGAAGCTTTTCATATGAGGAGATTTCAACGGCCACATTGGAGCGACGTCTGGGGGTTATGATGATGTGCATGGTGGCTTTGGTTTTGGAGATAGAAACGGAGGAACGTTTTTGCTGGACTTTGCTAGAGCATTTGATTTGGTGATAGCAAACTCGAGTTTTCCGAAGAAGAGGGAGCACTTGGTCACTTTCCGGAGTTCGGTGGCCGAGACTCAAATTGATTATTTACTCTGCAGGAAGTTCGATAGAGGTCTTTGCACGGATTGCAAGGTCATCCCGAGCGAGAACCTCTCGACCCTTCATAGGCTCTTGGTCATGGACCTTGAGATCACGAGGAAGAGGGCAATATATAGCCAATATAGGATCAAGTGGGGAGCCTTGACGGAAGCTAAAGCGCAGGAGTTGGGGGTCAAGCTGGTAACTATGGGGGCTTGAAAGAGTAGTGGGGACTCAAGCACTATGTGGACCACGACTGCGCAGTGCATTAGGGAAGCCGCGAGAGAGGTATTAGGGGTCTCAAAGGGTGACTATGGTGGTCACAAGGGAGACTGGTGGTGGAATGGAGAAGTGCAAGGAAAAGTGAAAACCAAGAAAGCAGCGTATCTGAAGCTAGTGGAAAGTGTAGACGATGAGGAGAAGAGGGCGAATAGGGAGCATTATAAGTTGGCTAAGAAAGAGGCAAAGCTAGCAGCTACGGCTGCCAAGACTGCAGCTTTTAGTCGTTTGTATGAGGAACTCAAGGGCCGAGGTGGGTATAAGAGGTTGTTCAGGTTAGCCAAGGTGCGAGAAAGGAAGGCGTGTGACTTGGACCAAGTGAAGTGCATCAAGGATGAAGAAGATAAAGTTTTGTTCGATGAGGGGCTTATCCGTCAGAGATGGCAGATCTACTTACATAGTCTCTTGAACGAGAAGGGGGACAGGAGCATTGTACTGGGTGATTTGGAACTCTCAGGGAGTCGTTGTGACTTTGGGTATTGTAGGCGGATTAGAGTTGATGAAGTTGAGGGGGCTATGCGTAAGATGAGCAGGGGCAAGGCGGCCGGGCCGGATGAAATGCCGGTGGAGTTTTGGAAGAGTGCGGGCAAGGCAGGCTTGGAGTGGCTCACTAGGTTATTTAATGTCATATTTAGAATGAAGAAGATGCCCGAAGAGCGAAGGGGGAGCACGATAGTTCCTGTATACAAGAACAAGGGTGATATCCAAAATTGCAATAACTATCAGGGTATCAAACTGCTTAGCTATACTATGAAAGTCTGGGAGAGAGTGGTAGAGCTAAGGGTGAGGAGGAGTGTGTCTATTTTCGAGAATCAGTTTGGGTTTATGCCGGGACATTCGACAACAGAAGCCATATCCACCTTGTTAGGAGATTGATAAAGCAGTATAGGGAGAAAAAGAAGGACTTGCATATGGTGTTCATCGACTTAGAAAAGGCGTACGATAAAGTTCCGAGGGAAGTTTTGTGAAAATGTTTGGAGGCTAGAGGTGTACATGTTGCCTACGTTAGGTTGATTAAGGACATGTATGATGGAGTAAAGACCCGAGTGAGGACGGTGGGTGGGGACTCGGACCATTTTCCGGTTATGATGGGGTTGCATCATGGGTCGGCACTCAGCCCTTTTTTGTTTGCTCTAACGATGGACGTGCTGACGCGCCACATCCAAGGGGAGGTGTCGTGGTGCATGCTATTTACAGATGATATTATATTTGATTAATGAGACGCGAGACGGTGTCAACGCATAATTAGAGGTATGGAAGCAAACCCTGGAATCTAAAGGTTTCAAGTTGAGCAGGACCAAGACAGAATACTTGGAGTGTAAATTCAGTGGCGAGACTCATGAAGGGGAAGGGGAGGTGAGGCTGGACTCGCAGGTCATCCCTAGGAGAGGAAGTTTTAAGTAACTTGGGTCTATTATTCAGGGGATGGGGAGATTGATGAAGATGTCACACATCGTATTGGGGCTGGATGGGTGAAATGGAGACTCGCTTCCGGTGTTTTGTGTGACAAGAAGGTGCCACCGAAACTTAAGGGTAAGTTCTACAGAGTGGTAGTCAGACCAACGATATTGTATGGGCTTGAGTGTTGGCCAGTCAAGATCGTTCATGTCCAGAAGATGAAGGTAGCAAAGATGAGGATGTTGAGATAGATGTGCGGGCACACCAGGTTAGATAGGATCAGAAATGAGGTTATTCGCGACAAGGTGGGTGTGGCCCCTATTGAGGACAAGATGCGGGAAGCGCGGCTTAGGTGGTTTGGTCATGTGAGGAGGAGGAGCACAGAAGCCCCGGTGAGTAGGTGTGAGAGCTTGACATTGGAGGGCCTGCGGAGAGGTAGAGGTAGGCCAAAGAAGAGGTGGGGAGAGGTGATTAGGCAAGACATGGCGCAGCTTCAGCTGACCGAGGGCATGACCCTTGATAGGAATGTATGGAGATCGAGGATTAGGATACTAGAGTATGTAGTCTACAGTGTTCATAACAGTAGTATTGGCACGCAATCTCGCTTTCTGTTGGTAATAGGTTTTTATGACTAACCATTATTTCCTTCATTGTTGATCACTTTACTATCTTTTTGTTTTTATTCTACTTTTATATGGCTTTTTGGTATTGTCCCTTCTTGTCTATATTTTCATTAATGTGGTGCTTATGTTTGCCTGAGCCGAGGGTCTATTGGAAACAGCCTCTCTATCCTCACAAGGTAGGGGTAAGGTATGCGTACACACTACCCTCCCCAGACCCCACGGTGTGGAGTAATACTGGGTATGTTGTTGTTGTTGTTGTTGACTTATTTAAGTTAATGCATAAATGTTACTTACTTACTTTACATGGGAAATCTCACATCTGGTCTTCTCTCCGGTGATATCACACCATAGTCTAACCATGAATCACTAATTGATGGACCGAGAACTCTTAAGTCCATAATGAAAATTAGAAGATACCAAATAGTGAGCAATTTTCAAGATATCATGTAGTGGATGGATGAAGTTTTGAAACATTGTTTATGTACTTAGTACTTGCAGAATGGCCAATGTAACTAAAAATAAGTACCAGATTAATTGCACAATGTAGCATGAATTAAGACATACAAAAGTACACATTAAGATGACATATGCTGATATATAAAACACGTTAAGATGACAAATTCTCGTATGGAATTGAACCTGGAGCCCACTCCAAGAAATCCACTCGATGCTGCACGTTGCGATGCATACCCAGTAATTCATATCTATGAAATAGACATCTAGAATTAGTAAAGAGTTAAATGTGCAAATGCAAGACGCGTTCTTTGATAACTTTAGCAAATAGGCAGAAGGTAGAATTATTGTCAATGTACGAAATTGGGGCATAAAACTAACCCAGTAGACATCTCCTTGAGACTGAAGTGACGAGTCAATATTTCATCCTTCAAGTCCTTCAATGATTTATATCTGCAAAGCAGAATGAGTAAAAGAATAAAACACCCTGAAAGATTATTGCGCATATAAAATGGTTCAAGCATCAAGTAGTACCGGGAACAGTCAAAGTAGACTAAAAAGTGGCTGCTCGTTACTATTTTGGGTAAGGAGCTTCTAGCATGTCTAAAAGATCATTGAAATACTCCCTCCTCCAATTTGACGTAGTTTGACTAGACACGGAGTTTAAGAAGAAAAAAAGAAGATTTTTGAAACCAGTGGTTTTAAACATGCTATTCCTGCCGTTCCAATTTATGTGTCAAAGTTTGAATAGGAACAGAGTTTAAGAAAAATTGAATGACTTTTTTAATTTGTAATCATAAACATGTCATACAATTTGTGAGTGGTTATACGACTTTTGAAACTTGTGATTTTAGACATTCTAAAATATTTGTGTGGCTCATTAAAGATAAAATGAGAACTTTAGGTTAAATTATTATCAAATTTCAAAAGCTCCCATCTTTTTTAACGGGACTAACGAAATGTTGCCACATAAACTGGACTGGAATGGAGAGAGTATAAGGTTATAAGAATTTTGAAACTTGTAATCCGAAAAATGCAATAACATATGTGTAGTTGTAAGAACTTAATAGATAAAATTAAAAGTTCAAAGTTAAATGGGTCATTATATTTTGCACCACTAATAACGAAATTGTGTCATATAAACTGGAACAGATAGAAAGTAAAATTTAAGGCATTGCAAAATAACCTTTCACGAAGAAACTGAGCGAAAGCTTTATGGGTAATGCCGTATTTGGTGAGGAACCCAACAGGATCGATGCCTTTCTCCTCGTCGGACTGCTTTGCCGGGCGTTGTTTGCGCCGTTGTGGTGGCGGTTGCTCGGTGGTTGAGCACCTACATATGTTCCTCTGTGGGAACGAAACCCGAGGACGGCTGCAAACAAGTGTAACTTGCCGAAGGTTTCTGCTGCCGCTTTGAGAAAGAAAGTTGAAACGAGTATCGTTCAAATGTGAAGAAATTGGAATTGAATCCGTCAGAGAGAGCATGATTGAAGCTAATTAGTACTAATTCCTATGTCACATGGGGGGAAGAAGATCAACTAGTTTTTTCGCCTTTGTGATAAGAGGCGAGTACTGTGTCAAACTGTGTCAGACGGGTGAGCGGGTTCCTATATACTGAGGTGGACAGAGCGTAAACGGCTACTCGGACGACGTAAACGGTAACGATATTTTATTTGACAGTGGGTTGACCGTAAGTTTCTAATAGCCTGATTGGCTAAGCTTTTAAAATCTGTTTATTTTGATAAATATTTTTTTTCAAAAAATATTTTTGATAATAATTAATTTGTATTTGACTAATTAATTTAAAAAATACTTTTGAGCAGTAATTAATATTTGATCAAACTTTTGAAAACTATTTCTAAGTGTATTTTTCTCAAAGTGCTTCTAAAAAAAGTACTTTTGGAGAGAAACTATATTTTTCTGCTTCTCAAAATACGTTTTTGGTTCTACTTCTCCTCAAAAGTACTTTTTTCCCTTTTAAAAGTTTGGTCAAACACCTCAATTTTTGGTCAAAAGCACTTTTGCCCCAAAAAAAGCTTGGTCAAACAGGTTATAAATTGGCAGTGTGTGTTCGACTTTTGTGACCTCAAAAACGAGAAAATTTCATGGTGGTCATTCAATTTTGTGTTCATTACGCAAAAGTCATTTTTCTTCTTTTTGTTACGTAAAAATCATTCAACTTTGTGTTCATTACCCAAAATCATTTTTCTTTCTTTTGTTATACAAAATTTATTTTACTTTGCTCTATTTATCACAAAAGTCACCTTGGCCAGATTTTATAATACTTTTACTTGAAAAGTCTATTATGTCCTTGACATTAATCCTCTCATTTATATAATACCTTCTATATTATATACTATATAATATATTTTAACCTAGGTATTTTACTTATGATCAAAATAACTTTAAATTATTTTATTTATTATTTCTATATATCCATACATTTAATTTTTCCATGTCACTCAATTTATTTAATTATATTCAAACATGAATATATTTTAAATATAAAAATAATTAAAAAATTAATATTTATTTAACATAATAAAAACAGATTTGTTTAACAAATGATAGTTTTTTATAGTCAATAAAAAATTTTAAAAAAAGTTTCAAAGATATTTTTGTTTAATATTAAGTTTTTTAAAGTTTTATCTATTAATATTATTTATTTGAAAGTATTAATCTGATATGTCATTTTGCTAAATGTGGGTATTTTATTTATTAAATTAATGGGTACGGCTTGGCTGATAAATCAATGAGCTTTGATTTTTTAATTTTCATTAAACATATTTCATTAAACATGATTAAGAACGTGGACTTGAGATTTGTTCGCGGTAATGTTACTGACAAATTTAATAATGCTACTTATATATCTTGAAAATTAATTTTAAGAAAATATTATGTATATGAATATATTATAAAATAATAAATAAAATAATATTAATTTATTTTAATTATAAGTAAAATACCTGGGTAAAAATATATTATATAGCATATAATATAGAAGGTATTACGTAAATGGGATGATTTATAATGTCAAGGGCATAATAGACTTTTCAAGTGAAAGGTTTGTAAAATCTGGTCAAAGTGATTATTTTGATAACTAGAGCATAGTAAAATAATTTTTGTGTAACAAAAAAAAAAGTGACTTTTGGGTAATGAACACAAAGTTGAATGACCACCCATGAAATTTACTCCCTCAAAAACGCAACATTCACTTTGCATAATATAATATGTCCCTTAATTAGATAAGTTTAATTTATGTGCATTGATATTGGGAAATATACTAATTTGAACATTGAAGAATAAAGTTTTTTCTAATATTAGTGAGTTGATTAGAAATGTCATTAAATAACACAATCATCTTCTATTTATTCCTATTATCTTTTATGTGACTTTCTTTTGTCCATGCTAAGTCAGGTGAGTCATTTCTCATATTTGACTGGTACTCTTCAAATATAAAAGTGTGTTAATTGGAGCACGAACCTGCTTAAAGAAAGGAGACAAGTGAATATAAATAGACAATCATGTAGTACTAGCTACTCTGGCTTTGTGTCTTGATCTTCCTAGAAGCACATACCCTGCAATTTAAGAAGAATGGATGGGTGGTAGCTCATAAGTTACATCTATGACTACCTTTTAGTGTTCCCTCAAGTGAGAAAGAGAATTTTATCTATGTGCCCAACATATATTGAATGCAGGGGGTGTGATAGGGTTCAATTAGATCCCTTTCGCTGAAAATTAAGCCGCGAAAAAGGGCTAAAGTAAAAGGATTTGTATATACACATGCTATTGTCCTTACTTTTAGATGATGGTTTGAGTATGTTAGGATTAGCCAGTATGAGCAATTATATGCAACCACGCAATTGGTGTAACTTTCGGAAGTAGAGCTTAGGTATTGATTTCACCTTCGATGATACCATATTTTGTTGACGAGACCAACATGTTAAAGAGGCGATGACTGAGACATTTCATTGTTGAATCAATATAAAATACTTCTTAACGGGGAGGCATGGCTGGCACCCGGTGCCGTACTAGTTCGAGTAAATCACTCTGTAACTTATGATCGTTCGAGCAAAATTAGAACATACATATGTCGAGTTAACTGAACTCATTCATTTTGTAACTATCATGGGCCCACATGGTCACCACTCATAATGTACAACTGTAAGTGAAAAAATAATGTATCAATGAATCATCTTTCTTAAAACATGAATACATATTGGCCGTCAAGGCCTCTTACATACTGTACAAAATGAACCTCTGTCTACAAAGCCTCTAAGATTATTTGACATCAAATGGGACAGGGTACCAGTCTACCCATAAGTCTATAGCAAAACTCTAACACGATGACTTATAGACTCGGTTTCACTTCGAATGAGGTGGAGTCTTATCGATCCTTCGCTGAATGTTAACCTCGTCTACTATAAGGGCTCGTCAAACTGATTATCTATACCTGCAGGCATGAATGCAGCGTCCCCAATAAAAGGATGCCAGTACGAATAATGTACCAAGTATGTAAGGCGCAACTGAAACATAACAATTAGTCAACATTAATTAAAGACATATAAGAATCAACCTGAATCTCTGAAGTGCCACCGTATATACATACTTAGTATACTTATATATATAATGCTTCTCTTTGAGACTATTATCTATATCGTATGATGCATGACTGCCCAACTGATCGGTGGTAACTGCCCCGACCGGCCGTAGCACGGTGGTAAATGCATGACTGCCCGATCGGCCGTAGCGCGGTGGTAAATGCATGACTGTCCGACCGACCGTAGTTCGGTAGTAAATGTGTAACTACCCAACCGGGCGTAGCACGATGGTAAATGAATATGCATGTCTGCCCAAACGACCATAACTCGGTGGTAAATGTATAACTACCTAACCGGCCGTAGCACGGTGGTAAATACATGAAGATGCACGTATCACTATATTATAAACATTAACATCTTTATCATATACCTCAATAGAGACTTAGGAATATACTTAGACATACTTGGATATAACTTTACAAGAATGAATAACATAGACATTCTTAACTATTAAGAGTAGAATCACTTATGGAATAGCATTACGTTTATGTGTCGTTACTTGAATCATGCCAAAAGAAAAGAGGAATAGCCTTAACATACCTGAGCCGGTTCTCTTGACAACCCCTCTAACACACATCTTTTATGAAAAACACATGACGGCGGATCGTAATAGAAAAAAATCTGTATGATATTCTTGAGAAAAATTGTACCGTACTCCCTTAGAATCGCAAATCTCAAGCTTCGAAGTTTTAAGTGAATTGATTAAGCTCCATCGTCACTTTGCAAATCTTAGCATCCCACTTTAAAACTTATGAATAATGTTAGTAATTAGGAATGGGATGTTGTTCTCTGCAAGAAAGGAAAATGAATATGGTCGTACCATTTTTTTTGCTTTCTTAATAACACTCTTCAAGGATGTTGTTCTCTGCAAGAAAGGAAAATGAATATGGTCGTACCATTTTTTTTGCTTTCTTAATAACACTCTTCAAACAAATGAGCTAAGATCTTATCTCTTTAAATGTTGCCACCTTCAAAGTGACTTAATAGTCACTAAATGAATGATATGTTGCTGCCACGTTGGAGACTATTCAACCTTACCCAATTACACTAATTAATTAGTTAATCTTCCACTAAATTACTATTTACCTAATTATTCACATAATTAAAAATTATCTCAAATTACTTATAATATTACTAACTTTTAACATACTTTATGTACCCTACTATCATGGTCATGTGGTACCATATAAAATCAATATATACATTATTATTTCATTAAAATATTCATGTATATATATATATATATATATATATATATTCTCAACTTCTAATTTTCCTAATCTCATATAAAGAGTACAAATTTCCGTACGCTTAACTCTTAAAATGGTAAAAAGATAACCTTCTTTTCTTGTGAGAAAATAATTTCTATCTTTACAATAAAAAAAATCTCATAAACTTTCTTATATTATGTGTATAATTTAAAGCATGTTCGAAAGTAGTAATAATAATAACTATATAAAATCATATTTTTCAAACTTTTTATTTTACAAAAAAATGTCCACTCAAAATACCATATCAAATGTATATAACGGTATCAAGGTTATTAAACTTACGGGGTCTTACAATAACATAGTCACAAATCCTCTATAATCTCACGAATGGTCTTAATCCCTTCAAGCTTATATGGATTACTACGACTTATCCTAGTATTAAAGTACGGGATGTAACAGGAACCTAATTATGATATTTTAATTTTTACATCGCACCTATAAAAGAAGGTCATTGTAGGTAATGTTTGTCCTCCTCGTACATGTAGCTCTAATCTTGCATTCAATTTCTTGGCTTGTTGCTCGATATCGTATAATTGTCTTGTTTGTTCAATCCTTAACACTTTTTGCCCGGTGTATGGAAAAAACACTATTTTCAGTCCCCTAATCTTGGTACTTGTGATATTTTTCAGTCGCCCAATGGCCTATAACACGAGTCACTAACCCACAAGGGCTATGTATGCTTTTATGCAACTCATGTCGACACAGACATTAAGAGCGCCAAATTT